TAACCACTATTGCTCAACTATAATTGTAATCTAACTTCTATCACCTGATCGCTATTGTCCATAATCCACAACCCAATCATGCTTGCCTATTTATTGCTTGTATGATCACCACCATCACCTTTCTATACTTACATATTTAATTACAATCAAAACAGATTAAAGTGATATTTCAGATCATGCAATCTTATTTTCTCTAATTGATAATAAGAGTATCATTATAATTTAACTTTAAAGGTGGATCATTTCACATGAGTCAAGCATAACGATTCTATTCCTTTGAGATTTTTTTCCATTATTATATATTTTGATCAGATTATGTACAATATTTTTATATTAAGATAAGATTTTAAACTTTTTATTTATCAATATAAATATTCAAACACAAAAAAATTATGGAATGAATTTTTATTATATATACTATTAAATTGTCTAAATCGTAGTGCATAGAATATCGCGAATGAAAATTATTGCGGCAAAAAAAATTATAATTATAAAGTGAGAATTTTACGTCGTAGCTTTGCATAAAGATACATCGCACAAATATAAAAAAATGAAAATAATAATGATAAAAGTATAGAAAATTTATTTGAAATTATAAAAATAATAAAATATCATAACACCACCATTCTTATTATACAATATCCCTTAAACATTACATAATAGAAAAAAAGTAAAAAAAAAAATGAAAATACATGATAACACCATCATCTTTTCGTTATTCAATATTACATTATACATTACACATACGCATACATTCAAATATAAGTATTATTTATAACTATGCGGGCCGTATTCCCGCTTGTGAATTTCTAATTTACACTCGCTAGTAAATCTATTGCCGCAATTATTACATCTGAAGTTATATTGTTTATGCGTTGACTCGTAATGATTGTATATGCCCTTTAGCCTCGGGAACTTCTTCGGTTGTGAGTTTTTTTTTTTTAGTAATCTAAGAAAATAAAATCTCCCTTGTGATCACTGCCCTTTTGAATGTTAGACATTTTGATGATAGAAAGAGAAAATAGATCAGAGAGAACGGTAAAAAAATTTCTTCTTTGGGAAAATTTATATTTGGAATAGATTCCATGAATGAATTAAAAAAGTCATTACGTTGGGTGTTTGGAGGAATGTGCGGCGAAAGACTCGTTCTTAGTCCTTTAATAAGATAAGATCTAAAGCAATGCATGTAAGCATGCATAAATACATAAAACCACGTGATCGAGTAATTCTCACTTGGTTTTTATGTATTTATGCATGCTTGGTCTTAATTACTTGATCACGTAATTTTATGTATTTATGCATACTTGCATGCATTGCTTTAGATCTTATCTTATTAAAGGATTAAGAACGAGTCTTTCGCCGCACATTATTCCGAGCATCTCACGTAATGATTATTTTAACCCATTCCAACTATAAATCTTTTCAAGAAATGTTTTTTTTTGTCGTTCTCTCTGGTCTCTTTTCTCTTCATATCATCAAAATGTCTAACATTCAAAAGGGCGGTGATCACAAGGGAGGCTTTATTTGCCTAGCTTGCTCAAATAAAAACTTACAACTCAAGAAATTCCTGAGGCTGAAGAACATGTACAATCATTACGAGTCAACGCATAAAAAATAAAATTTCAGATGCAAAGGTTACGATAATAGATTTATTAAATAATATGAATTAGAAATTCACTTCACAAGCGGGAATACAGCTCGCATAGTAATAAATAATATTTATATTTGAATATATGTGTATGTGTAATGTGTAATGTAATATCGGGTATCAGAAAGATGGTGTTATTATGTATTTTCATTTTTTTTTACTTTTTTTCATTATTTAATGTTTAAGAAATATTGTGTAATAAGAATGGTGGTATTATGATATTTTATTATTTTTAGAGTTTCAAATAGATTTTTTATACTTATATCATTATTATTTTCATTTTTTATGTTTGTGCGATATATCTTTATGCAAAGCTAAGATGTAAAATTCTCACTTTATGGTTATAAATTTTCTTGCCGTAATAATTTTCATTCGCTATATTCTATTCACTATGATTTGGACAATTGAATAGTATATATAATAAAAATTCATTCAACAATTTTTGCGTATTTGAATATTTATATTGATAAATAAAAAGTTTAAAATCTTATCTTAATATAAAAATATTGTACGCAATATAATAAAAATATATAACAATAGAAAAAATCTCAAAGGAAAAGAATCATTATATTTGACTCATGTGAAATGATCTACCTTTAAAGTCAAATTATAATGATATACTCTTATCATCAATTGGAGAAAATAAGATTGTATGATTTGAAATACCACTTTAATCTGTTTTGGTTGTAATTAAGTATGAAAGTATAGAAGGGTGATGGTGGTGATCATACATGTAACAAATAGTTAAGCATGGTTAGGTTGTGGATTATGGACAATGGCGATCAAGTGATATAAGTTAGATGACAACTATAATCGAGCAATAGTGGTTAGGCAATGAGAGTTGTAGGCGATGATCGTTAAGATCAAACTTAGAACATCGTTATAGAGTTTCATATTATCTTGAATATTAAGCCAAATCTTTTTTATAAACATAATGATGATCTATTAATTATTATCTTATGTTTACAGTTTGTTATTTTAGTCAAAAATTTAAAATACTTCATTGTAACTCCTCTGTTGACTTTTTTTCAACAAACTTTAAAAAAGCTTAAAACTTTTTTTCTCAAATATTGCATCAAGATATGTGATTAATCGAGTCTATTTTTTATGATGTCTTCATAATATAAAAATAAAAAATTTAGGATCAAATCATAATGTAAGAAGCAATTTTTTTTTAATAAATTCTATATTTTTAAATTTTAAATAAATTTTACACACGAATTCATGACTGTGCTGGATGTGCTGGCGTTGGAATTTAAGAACTTTATGATCTTAAGCAAGAAGAAACATTGTTATGAATTTTGTTCTATATTCAGACAAACATGGCAGTGATTATTTGGATAGGGCTCTTTTTTTTTGGCTATAAATAGTAAATACTATATAAGAAGAATTTTTATAGCATAAGAACATACATCATTTCCCAAAAAAGAATATCATACAATAATTTCATCCTATAATCCTATTCTTGCTCACGTCCAGTCAAATCCGAGAAAAAATTGTCATTTGTTTCTTCTACAACAGATTTAGAAAGTTCAAAACCTCTATCTCTCTAAACTAGGTCACGCTCCTCTTTTTCTCTATATAAAAGGCTAGAGAGCATCATAGCTAACAAAGACAACACAATATGACTTGGTCCAATCTGGCCATAGATCTCCTCCATTGCATCGCATCACATTTGCATATCGTCAAATTCCTCCGTTTTTTTGTTGTCTGCACCTCGTGGAATTCAGCTGTTTCTAACAATGCACTCCTAGGCATTCATTGTCTTCCCTCCCCGTGACTGCTTCTTCCCAGTGATGTCGGTGAGGCCTCTGACACACTCACCTTTCACGATCTTACCATTGAAGAATAAGAAGATGGCATCAACATCCACTATCACTCTCCTCCCTAACGGGCTACATCTTCGACCGTCGTTGCATTGGCTCCAAGGAGGATGTCTTGTGACACTTGACAAAATGGATCTGCAGCCTCACATATTCAACCTCTCACAAAGGCTGAAATATATCTCACATACCTATTCACCATCCCAGAAGATAAATATCATAGGATCAAGCTAGATGGTTCTTTTGAGTTTTTTTTTTATGATGAAATACACCCATGCTACACCACAGATGTTGAAAGGTTCCGCGATATATATCATTTTTTTTTTCTTTTTCTTCTTTTTTAGGAACAGGGTATCCACCCGCTGTCATACTCGAAATGGTGCTTGGCAATGTGACTAATCCTCACCTGACCTAAAAAAGGCACCCACCCAAGAAACCTCCTGGCTAGCACGGGTTAGCGGGTTCCCAAACGTACTTACCCACCAATTAAACTAAGCATGAATGGGTATCATCTGATATTCTATGATCGTTCATGTTAATGTGATAAGATTATAATCTAAGATTATAATGACATTTGCTATACTAATATTACATTGTAAGTCAGTTCTCTTTTATTATTCATATTATATTATCCTTGCCTCGCCCCTTATAAAAATAAATCATAAAAAAATTAAAGATAAATTTTATAAAATTGAAAGAAGAATTCAATAGAATTCAAAAAGAAATAAAAATTAAAATTGGCATTCCATTACAGCTTGAACAAAAAAAGCTAAAAATACAAATTATTCTATAGATTATATAGTAATATACTATCCAACTGCTTCAAAAATGTGTATATCTAAGGCTTTCAGACAAGACATAAAGCTGCAAACGAGGGAGCTCAAAGATCAGCAAAAAGATAGTAAGTTTTGGAATCGGCAGCGATGAGCCTCATAGCAGCAATGGCAGCAATTACAGCCAAGAAGGTGAAGCCTACAAAATTCAACCAATGCCAAGCCTTTTCAGGAACTGAAAGCTGCTTCTTCTTCACGATTAGATACATGTGAATTGCAAGAACAAATGTAAGTGGGATTGAACTCAAAGCCCCAGTTAAGGTCATGAAGTCTCCGAGGAATGGAAGGAGAGCAGAAACCAGTGTGTTAATGGTGAGATACCCTCCTCTAATGGAAACTCGGAATAGCACATTATGGAAAGCGAATGGATTCCCTCCTCTTCCATACTTTGTGTCCAGGTACTCATACATGGGGCTTGCAAAAATCTGAAGATAGCTATAAAAGATTAGTTGTCAAGGTAAGGAATACTGAAGAAGTGAAAGGCATGAAGGTGATAGTTGACGATTTCTAACATTTCATAAAGCCAAATTCATAATACATTGATTTTATTAAATATATAGGCTTCCACTACGGGGAAATCTACCATTACCGTCGGACTTTCCTACAGATTTCCATGCACCGGAAGAAGTGGCGGATTTGCCAGCGAATATTTGTGTGGTAACTTTACGGCGGAATTTCCGACACAATTTCTGCCGTTAATTTACCGTTGCATATTTCGCTGGCTAAATCGCCGGTATATATTATATTCTGGTGCATTTTCCGTCGATAATCACCGACAAAAATACGATACAAAGAAATTTATTTATATTTCTGATACATACATTACGCCGGTATTTCCGGAGGAGAATACGCCGGTTTTATAGGCCGGCGGATAATCCACAAGTAATTCCAGCTCAACATTTCAACCGGAAATACCGTCAGATTAAACGCCGGTATCTGTCCAAAGAAAATGACAAGCAACCTTCATTTTTTCGCAGGAATTGCATCGGAAATGTTTCCGGAGGATAAATTTTGCCGGCAAAGACATTCCGACGGGCGAATTACCATTGTATGAAAATCTGCCAAAAAAACAAATTTTCCGGCGGATTTCCCTTGTTACCGGCGGATTTTGTTCACTGGTAATAAGTCATTTTCCTGTAGTATTCATGCTCTTATAATATGAATAGCATAGCCTGGACAGTGAAATTGGGCTACCCAAGCTGATAGAAGGTGATCCAAGCTTGAAAATTTTGAAAGGTGCTAAGGAAGTTTTAACCAATTTCAAAAAAAGCCAACAAAAGAAAGCATGAAAATGAACATTTGTAGGACTATGATCAAGCATGAAAACTGCTATTGTCAATCCCAATTCTGAATAAGGTTAAGGGTCAATGGACCATTTAGGCTCGCAGATAATATATATGTAAGTTTTTCAAAATGATCTGTTATGAATATATCTAACCAACAAGGCCATAGTTAGCAAGAACTAAGAAGATTATGATTCATAAAGACAAACCCAAATAATTAATTGAATAAGGCTAATGATGATGAGTGGTTATAATGAAAGCAACCACATATAATTTACCATGTTTTGGGGTTTTTCTTGATCAAACATGCATTGTGACCCACACAAGATATTTTTGTTGGAGCATTATATATATTTGGGTGTACACTATAGATCTTTTCCTTGGAAAACTGCTTACATGTAACGTGATAACTGTTTGGAGAAAGGAAGCAGTGTTGGCTACGGTCTTAACCCAAACCGGTCCTCGGACATTTTGGAGGAGATAGGTAGAAGTTGAGGAACCATAAGCCCAATAACCCAGGAAAGTAACTGCATACAAGGGCAAACCACCAATTGTGAATTGAAACCATAAGGCTTTCTCCATATTTTTTATGGCAGGTTCTTTCACTGTTGCCTGGAATAGCAAGTAAAGAACCGTTAACTTGGCGGACCACAAAACATGCATTTCAGACATTGTAATATGAGAAGAAAAAATTGCTTTACTTTCACCCCACTACAGAAAAATCATTCATTACCGACGGACTATCCTCCGGTAGCTTTCCAGCAGATTACGGCGAAATATGTCCGTTTAATTTTTCTGTAGATTTTTCGCTATCTGTCCGGCCGCTTTATTCCGCGGAAAATAAAGCCGCCGGATATGAACCGCCGGTTCTCGTATCCTATGCGGCTTTTACAGGCGGGAAAATTCCGCCGAAAGCCCACAAAAAACTTAATTTCCTTCAGAAATTCACCTATTTTTGCCGGAAAAATCCGTCGGTAATAGCTGGTTTTCCTCTTGTGCATTAGTTGAATACAAAACAAGAAAAAAAAAGTTATAAGTCACTCTAATGTCTGGATAACTCTTTCCGACATTGCACGCCATACTTTCTTACATTATGTGAGTAACAAAAGATGCTTAACTACCATCACATTGGGTTTACCAGCCAAGCTTTTCAAAAGAGGTCAGGTATCAATATCAAGTGTCTCTCTTGGTCCGCAAAGTAAAATGGGTTAGAGTGATATTGGAGAAGAATGAGATGATTGATTTTCATTGGTTAAAAGGGCAGCCTAATAAAAAAAAAAATTCTGTTTTGAAACTGTAGAAATTTTTTGTTGTTGTTGTTTGTATGTGCTACTTTTGTAGAAATACTTTTTAGAGAACTAAATTTTTGTATTGTTTTCAAAAGCTTTTTATATTAACTTCTCCATTACAAAACTCCGTTCTCTCAAATAGCAATTTTAAAATTATCTTTTAGAGAAGGTACAGAATAATCAAACGAATCCTTAGGCCTCGTTTGAGACAGCTTAATTTTGCCTTTTAAGTTTCGAAACGACAAATTTTTTGTTGTTGTTGTTGTTTGTATGTGCCACTTTTGCATAAATGCTTATGAGAGAACTATATTTTTGTACTGTTTTCAAAAACTTTCTATATTAACTTCTCCCTTAAAAAACTCCGTTCTCTCAAATAGCAGTTTTAAAATTACATTTTAGAAAATGTACAGAATAATCAAACGAAGTATGTTTGAGTTGAGTTTACCTGTATTTCAGGCAGCATCCCAGTATTGTAAACAAAAACTAGATTAGCAATCGCACCAATGGTGCTGAAAACCTTGTTCCAGTGGGATGTAGGAATGCTATAATCCCTCGCCGGACTGTTCAATCCTGTAAATATAGGCTGCGTTACACTCAAGTTACATCCCTCATAAAAGAAAGAAAAATATCTATTCATATCAAATGATAATTTTTCAATGGATACAAGCTGATGTTATTGTAGCAATTTCTCAAGAAGTTTTCAAATTCAGTTTAGTACTTTTTTTTTAAACAAAACAAATTTTATTATTCAATCAGAAGAGTACAATACAAAAATAATTGTATAACATTGATAGATGAAAAAAAGGACCAAAACCACAAGGGCCTCCACCAAAAACATCTAACTTGAAGCCTAGTATATTTTGGAGAGTGACCATATTTGTTCTAGCTATTTCTTCCTCTCCTAAGGTTTAGAATTTGTAACTTCTTATCTCTAGCCCTTCTGTGCTAGATGTATGTGCTAACCTCAGAGCCAATAAATGGAAAGTCTATTTCACCATGTAAAGGATAAGGTCCTCAAATATTATTAGGATATAAGTAGACTCCTTATTTATAGGGTTGAGTTTAGAAAACTGGGCTTATAACCCTACCCAATAAGAAGGGAGACCTAGTTTTACTATAAAATTACTTATGAAAATTTTATGTCAAATGTTTTGGCAAGAGTTGAGGTTAATTCTTTTAATCCTTGGTTTGTTATAGAATGGGTTTGTTAGACTAATGCTTCGTTTGGGATGACTTTCTTGCGCTTTTTAAAATAACTTTTTTGTATAAAAATTTCTAGTTCAACAAATTTTTGTATTAGAAAGCTAATTCAAAAAATAATAAGAAAGCCGTCATAAACAAAGCTCAAAGTGAATGATTTGTTGTCAGAAGATGGGCCCTATTAACTCCACCTCTAATATGTAAAAGTTTGGGTTCATGGATTGGGCCTTCCAACCATAGGCAAGGCTACGCAAAGCTTTTTTACTTTTATTTTTTATTTTTTTTATATGCTCTTTTGCAATTTGTACCATAGTCAAGAAACAAACCTTCTCAATTAAACTCTTGTTAAGAATAGTATCGAGTTACAGCTAACATCACATTTTTCTTGACATTTATTCTATGTTCTATAATTTTTTGAGAATTTCATAGTTTTTTTAGTGAGAAAATAGAGTGACATGCTTTGATAAGAATAAATGTGATGTTCAATATTATGTTAACTATAGAGGAATCACTTACAAGTTACAAAATGAATCCATGTGCCAAAATGGAATGTAGACTTAAAACATAATCTATCAAATTTAAGGAACTAATTTAATTTTATGCTTGGAAGATCTATTATGAAAGCAATCTTTGTATTAAGACAAATGAACAAAAGATCTTCATAAATTTTTTTTATTGATCTTAAGAAGATACATGATTGAGTATCATAATAATTAAATTGATATTTTTAAGGAAGAAATGTGTCTTAAATATGTGTATGATGAAACACTAACTAATATTACTAGTTATGGAGCAACTCAAAAGTTTACAATTACCATACATTGAATGTACACTGGCACAATGTATAATCTATATCTTTTTATATTGGCTATAAAGATGCTTATAAATAAATTTAAATTAAGAGCTTTAGTGCATGATTTTTTGTAGATGATATAATTCTAATTGGTGATCATGATCAACTGAAACAAATGTGAAATTTAAACAAATTAGGAAACATTTTGATGATAAAGCCCCTAAAAATATTAGAAAAACATCATAAGCAAAAAGGTTGGTCCCACCATAACTATTTTTTACTATTATGAAACGCCTAATATATGATAATTAATTTTTGATGGTATGATGTTAGCAATTATCACTCAATATTATTCGAAGATAAGTTGATATCTAGATGAGGAATGTTTAAGTATCATGGTACTACTATACAAAGTAATGAAAATATATATATGATGATATAACTTATAGAGTTGAAGATGAATGGTTAAAATGGAGAAGTGTCAAGGTAGGTTTGTATGAGAGAAAATGCTTAAAATAATCTCTAGAATTTTGGGGAGAGCCATTTAGTCTCAAACTATTGAACGTGCCAAGGTGGTCTCGTAACTTGTCAAAAATTAATCACAAGTCCCACCAATATAATTATTGTGTAAAAGGATGAAAAGTTAACAGGGAGCCATTGCTAGTTAGTTAAATCTATCAAATAGCTTTATACTACTTAGTATAAATTTATAGTTTTTTTTTTACTGTTCTAGCCCCTTTATCAAAGTAAGGTTATAATTTTTTTAACTGTTCTAGCCCTTTGCCAAAGTAAGGTCATTCACTAGCTAGGTCAAGATCGATGAGCATCTACCACCAAATGTGTTTACAAGCAATTCGAGGAGTATTTGAAATGCATTACAAGTGGATGATGGCTAGAGGATAGGGTTCGCATCTAGCCCTAAAATGATTGTCACAGTGGGCGATAGAGATAAACATTAATCTTCCAATGACAGAAATGGAGATGGACTTGATATATTCTTTTTTTATCTATGATTTTTTCATATATAAAATATTAAATTTTAGATGTTATTTTGAGACACATTAATTCTCAGGCTAGACGTGGGTGAGACACGAACCTTATATTTGAGTCAACATTTAGTCCATCCATGATACACATTTAGTCGCTCGTTAACCTCATAGGTAGCGACTGATCATCGGTCTCAACCTAGCTAATGGACTACCTTACTTGGGTGAAAAGATTTAATAACAATGAAGAATATGAGTGCATTATATTAGGTAATATAAAGCTATTTGATATATAACCCTAAAGCAATGTCTCTCTTGTGATCATTCCATCAATTTCACTACGATTATGATGCATGGACTAATTTGGATCAATTTTAAAAAGTTAAGAGACCAAATTAGACATATTAAATAGTTCGAGACTAAAATGGACACCGCATAAAACTTCAAGAGAACGTTTTGGGCATTTTCTCTTTTGAATAAAAGGATTTCATAGGTACTTAAAAGATAAGTTTTGTAAAATCACAATTAGAATGAAGATGTTGTATAGATTTGAATACTAGTTTATTAAAAATCATTGATATGTAAGGAAAAAAAAAAATAAAAATGTTAGCATGAATGTGTAGCAAAATTAGGAATGACATTATGATATGATTATATTAGAGAAAAGATTTGAGTATTGTTCATTGAAAATAAAGTGATTGGAAAAAGGTTTGGGTGATTTGAACATATGCAATGAAGAATAAAAAATGTACTTATTAGATGGGCTGATAAAGTTAATATTTCATAGATTCAAAATGCCAACATCCTAATTAGTTGGACTTGGAATAAGGTTAATAATGTTAATGTTGATTATGGTTTGACTAAGTAATGCATATGTTTTGTTGATAATGGTGTTATGCTATAATTGTTAGCAATATATGTTTGTTTTCAAGATCATCACATTAGTATTTTCATAACAAAATTTGTTGATTATACATTCTATTATTATCTATCGTTCATATTCTACAACAATGTATTCATAATTATCATATTTGGGATTTGAAGCTTGGCATATCATGAGGATTACCCATTGTAAAACTTTTCATGGTGTTACTCATCCTTTTCAATAATATTGTTTCCAATAAAAACCTTAACATTCCATATTATGAAGTCACTAAATTGTTGTTTGTTACACGTAAATAGTCATTATAAATATCATGCATACGAAGTACATACATCAAAAAGTAAATGAAGTGTACCAAAACTAAAAATGATAAGGAAAAAGTTTGTGTTGGTGCAAAGAAAATTTATAGGAAAAGATGATAGATGCAACAAAGGTGCTAACGTTAAATCTTCATAATCTCTTTGACACAATTTATAAATACGTAGTTACATCTACTAAAAGCAACCTCTAGAACCTTTCAATGAAGCAAATTAAATCACATGTGCAACAATTATGGGAAAACTATGATTACTTCAATTTTCATGTGCAATTCTGCATGGAAAATGCAAGAGCTTTTCAAAATAGATAAGATAAATAAAATCCTTATACTTGGAAGTCGGTAGTGGAATTGTTTTTATCTAGAGAACTAGTAACGTTGTTAGGCAAACAATCATGTTTCTTAAGTAGTTAACAATGTATAATAAGCAGTGATCATAAACTGTATCATAACTATATTGTACGAGAAAACTATTGCCTGAAATTATAAAACATTTGATAGAGTTTGATGAGCATTACCATCCTTTAGTGAAAGCACGGATGCTATGACAATAAATACAAGACTAAAGAATGTTGAGAATCCTAGCCATATCCTTAAAGCAGAAAGATGAGGTATTCCAAAGGCAAAAAGAGCACAAACAAATCCGGCAATCGCTACACAGTATGGAAGCTTCAAAGCATCATCATCTCGGTATAGAACATAAATAGCCTTCAAAAAATTAGGTGAAAGCATACACAAGGTAAGTAGGCAACAAAATAATAACAATTAAAATTAACATTTCATAATAAGTTCCAATAGTGTTTTTAATTCATGAATAAAACAATAAAAATTGAAATTAACATCTCATTCTTTTTATCTTCCCATTTGCTAGGATTGAAGAAAACCTTAAAGGATAGTTTATAATTTTCCCTCTAGGAAATATAATTACCCGATAGTCCACAAATTCAGGGAAGAAGTTAATTTATTCTTATTTGATTCTCTCCATAACTCTACAAGTACATGAATAATAGGAGTTAAAGGAGATGCCCTACAACTGATCAAGATAAAAGGAGAAAATTTTGCATATATGCTCACCAAAGTTGCACTCGCAGACAAATTAAGGCTTTGCAAGGCCATAGTTAATGTCCTAAATCATGAAATGATTTTGCTGCATAGAGAGGTATAGGACATTGCACAATAAGCCTAGTACACTAAGAATTTCTAACTTTAATTGGGAAATTGTTAAAGTTATGGAGTTAAAATTATAAATCTCAATAAGATATATAATTTCTATGCTTAATGGATTACAAACATTTGATTGAGATTTGCAAATTATATAATCCCTTAAATCTTTTATGTGGGATATAGGATCTCTGGTTGAATTTTAAAATTTAATAAAATTATATTAATGGTGGTGGGTAGTCTTTTCGTGAGATTAATAACTAGAAAATGCTATGAGTATTAATTTAGTTTGATATTTAGAGGTTTTTTGATAAAAAATTATGGTGAAGTTGCTAATTAAATTTAATACTTACACCATAGACTTGAAAGAAATATACAATATATTCAAGTAATTAATATGAAATAAATCTATCATAAGAAGGATTTGCTAACCTGGTCAAACTTGATAAAGTGACTTCAAAGTTTTTAGAGGAAAGTCGACCACAAGAAAAATTTCACTTTGTTGACAAAAACTTCTGACTAGATTTGCTCTTTCAAGATTCAGTACTCTAATACCAATATGATGGTAGTGAGCAGTCTTTTGGTAAGATTAATAGCTACAAAAGACTAGAAATCTTTATTTTAATATTTAAGGAAGTGTTTTAGAGTTTGTGGTAGAATTGTGAGGGATTTAAAGGGGCATCTTAATAGGAATGTCAACACTAGTCCAATTTGGGATTATTGAACTAGTTTGGAATAGCCCTTTAGGACCTCACACTTCTCCTAAAATTTGTCAACAACACTTACAACACATTAAAATGATTTGCATTCAACAAAAAATATAAATTTGAGGGAAATACTAAATTTATTAACCAATTATCTAACTATTTTGCATTCCTTAGGAGTCCTAGTTATTATGATAATAAAGACCTAAAATAAATTATTTCTAAAAAATCCTAGAAAATATTAAGAAAATTCCAAAATATACACTTTCTCAAAACCTTCTATCAATTTCAACAATAACAAATTGCTACTATGCAAAAATAAATAAATATTTGTTTTAACTAATGGCCCAAAAAATGTCCTATAATGTTTATGCAGTATAATAATCACAATATGCAGTATTCAACATATAAGAAAACTTAGCATCAATAATTGCTGTTTTTGTTGTCGAAATTCCAGATTTTGTGATTCTACAAAGTTCGGATTGTAATGGCGGCAAAGAAGGTGGATGCCTTGGAGGAAAGAATTGAAGGAGAGATGAATCAGATCAAAATGACGGTGGAAGAAAGGATTTCATCCATGGAGGGGCAAGTTGCCGATATCCGGGAGATGATGAAAAAAGTGTTAGAAATGCAAAATCAAACGGCGGCTTCCGTGGCAAAAAGGGGAGGAGGAAGAAGTACGAATTCTGAAATTCGTATGGAGGAGGATGAGGTTGAGATCATGGAAGGTGAAGGAAGAAGACCCCATCTGGAGCCTGTCCAGAGGGAAGAGAGAGGAGTGGGTTATGTGGAGCGCCAAGAAGGGTACTATGGCCGCCGTGGTGCTGATTTTGGCGGAAACAGAGAGGAATTTCAGCGTCGAGGGGCTGATTTTGAAGAAAGAAGGGGGGATTTCGAAAGGGGTATGGGCTATGGCAGGACAAGGGAAGAAAGGGAAACGTGGGGACAAAAGGAATTCCCTAAACAATCCCTACAATCAATTTCCCTCCTAAAATCCATTCAAAAACCTTCCTATTCGGGCGTGCGGCTGAATCGGCGGCGTGCGTGCGGAAATGAGAGGCGGAGCTTCCGCCTCGTTATGGCTAGGCCGGTCCTGTGCGGACCGGCTGGACCGGTCCAGTGGACCGGTCTAACAGGATTCTAGTTATAGTACCAATAACAAGAAGCGGAAAGGGATTCCACCTCAATATGCATTTGCTATTCTTCAAGCAAATGTAAGCATAGTTATCTCACTTTATGTAAAGTAATCTATGAATTGTATCAATTCTATCATTCCAATGAATAAAATACATATGATATTCACCATTAGTAGAGAATAAAATCTCCAAATATATGATAGTAATACAATTTAGTTAATTATTCCATGGGAATTCATAATTAGTAGATGAAAAGAGAGAAGAATCAGAGGTATAGGTAGCAATTTCTTGAAATAATGTTAACTGGTGATACATTGAAGATTGAGCTAAAACTAGAGCTTCCTAAAATTTCTAATTTATAAGTATTTGTCCAAAGATGTTGTATGATTTTCTATGGCCTCACATTTAGTGCATTTAATTTCTAAGAGTTTTAAGTAAGAAATCTTTTAGCATTCAAATGTACCATTACTTCATCACGTAATACTAGAATTTCACATATCTAATGTTCACTTCAGCTGAAAGATGAGTTATAGTATGATGATTCAAGTGTACATGATATTTAATACAAGGAAACTAAGCAGTACTCACAAATCACAAACTGAGTCAAATAATGCAATTTATTGTAGTAGTTTTAAGCACTGTTATATCTTTAACTATATGACTTCTATTTTAATACATTTTACTTTTTTAAGATATTAATAGAAAATCTGAGAATATTTTCTTGTAGAACATTTTTTTGTTTTCTTGAAAAACATTTTTTCTTATCATGCTAAAAGTTTTTTTGTCATGTTTGGATGATATTTTTGTTTTCTTATCATTTTTTAATGATATTTTATTTCTAAAGAGGTTAAATAGGTAAACATTTTTATTTTCTTACCATGTTTCAAAGTGTTAAGAGAAAATCAAGGAGTCTTTGATTATTTTTTAAACACCGTCATGCTAAAAAAAATTCAAATTGTGCCACTTCTGGGCTGAATTTTTATTTTATTTTATTCATATTGCAGCAGTTTTAGCCATTGCAAAATAAATTCCTATGTTAAGGCTTCCTAGTAGTTGTAAATAGTATTCAACGGTTATAAGATGGTTTTAAGGCTTCATTTGGGATGACTTTTTTAAAAAAAATTGTACTAAAAAGTTGTTTTAGAAAACAGTAAGAAAATCATCCCAAATGAAATCTAAATGTTGCAAAAACCTTTTTCTAAGTAATGAGTTGGAAATTGTTATAAAGAAACATCACAGCACATTGCATGCTTTAGGAAAACAAAATGCATTAACTGGTTATCTTGTTTGCTTACAAATTAAAGAGAAACAAAAAGGGAAACATAATCACATCACCATTAAAATGGACAACAAATTATGGAAATAGCCGTCAACAAACCTTCAATCCTTGTCCAGCCAAAATGATATAACCAGTGTTGATCATGAACAAATGAATATATTGGAGGGCCCATGTAAGACAATATGTTTTCCTTCCTGCAATTTCAAAAGAGAACATAATCAAGAAGGTTTCTGGAATATAAAGACACCACCAAAACAAAAATTTAATACAATAACAACAGAAACAAAAAGCCTTTGTCCAACTATATGGTGTTGGCTATATAAATCTTTTTTTCCATCGTATCCTATTAGATCTTGTAGGATTCTTACCATATATGTGGCCAGCAAGATCTCTGTATCTTATTTGCCTTTTACCTCCAACTTCATGAAGACGAGCAAGAAGAATATTGGCATATAGTGATATGGCAGCTGCTAAAAGCAAGCCAACTACTCCACCAATCCATCCCAATGGAACCATAATTGATCCTGAATATCCTAGTACATAAGAACTGTTGATTCCTGTTGTGAGAATGAATCCCACTTGATACCATGGATCTGGAGCACCCAATTCAGAAGCAAAACATTAAAAGTTAGTCACATTGAGTAACAACAAATGAAGAAAACCTAAGCAAAATTCATAACTTTAGCTAGAAAACCAATTCCATTTTAAAGTAAAAGTTCACCAACTCAGCAAGCACATGATAGCCTTTTTAAACTACTTGTAGTTGTTATATAAGGAAACTGATATTGGAAAAGCTTTGATATTGTTTACAGATCTCATGTTTTTAATGTCATTGCTCACTAAGGAATAAATCCTACCATGGATTAATTATTCTATGCGGACCCCGAAAGCCATCCAGAGACCAATCAAAATGTGTCATGTCGCCTCTTTGTTGTGTACCGCGGCTCTCTACTACTCGGTACCGCTAAAGTGGTTGCACCTTTTCGCTTTCGGACATAGATAAACTGCATCCGGCTTCCGCACAGAATAATTTCTCTTTTTGTTGGAGGGTCAAGTAAAATAGGATTTATTATGGTTGATGTTAAATTCTGATAAACTATTTTATTTTTATTTCAAGATTTAGAGTTTACGTGAGGCATTGGTGTTCCTTCTCTCCTTTATAAAATTGTACATAAATTTCGGGTCATCATCCCCTTTGGTTTACCAAGCAGATTTTGACCTTTGATTGACCCATTGGCTCTCGATATTCAAGGCAATAATATATCTTTTATGAAGTACCTAGGCTTTATAATTTAGGGCCGGGTTAAGAGGATTGTTTTGAAGCAGATAAAGAGTGTGCTATTGCAATTGCTGAATTTGGGTAATGGATTTTGGAAAGGCCAAGCAATTATCCAAGTTCACATTTCTTTATAAGTTTTGGATAACTTTAAGCTTCATTTTAAAGTTGTTTTTCCCAACTCTCTGCTACCTTGGGGAGGAAATCATTTAAGTTTGTCCAGTACTTCTGAAATTTAAACTTATGCCTCTCATGTTTAAAGTTGCCAAGATTTAGAAATATAGGGGAGTGGTCTGAGGACATAAGGGGCAAAGTTTTGTAGGAAGATGAGGGATTGTTGTCAAGCCAGGTAAGGCCGTAGAAAGACCTGTCGAATTTTATAGGCTTGTTATTTAACCACGGAAGAGAATTTCCAGATGAGGGAAGCTTAGGGGGTGTTTGGTATCGGATTTATTTCGAAATTTAAGTAAGATTTACGGTAAATCTAGCCAAACACAAAAAACATCGCGGTAAATCCGGCAAATCCGTAAATCCCGGATTTGCGGATTTACGGCGTAAATCCTCTAAATCCCGGTAAATCAAATCCTAATCCCACTAGAAGTTTACGGGATTTGGCCGAAGAACCGCGCGAAAGGGAGAAAGTTACCTTCACAGCGAGCCAGCTATCATCGGATTTAACGCAATTTACATCGCAAAAGTTCTTCCCGCGGCGCCCGTGTCGCGATCTCCTGCTCGACCACTATTTGTACATGGAGGAAATCGTAGCTTCATCTTCATCCTGTGCCCTAGCCGCTTCCAAAGCACAGTCGCTGGTTCCCGCTCAAGGTTGCGCGTGTACTCACAGCTTTTTTTTTTTCAACGGTAGTTTGGTATCCTCTTACTGATCGAGCAATAGCGAGCAGGTGTTTTTTTTTTCTTCACGAGCACGATGGAACGGAGAGAATAACGAACGCAAAAAAGGAATACCGCCGCTGCCCTTTTTTTGTTCTTCACGACAGAGAGGAATGAGAATTTTTTTTTTCACCTCAGCATTCCTTAAAACATTTTATGCGTTCATTCCTTTTTTTTTCTTCCCGAGAGTGACTCTTTATAATATCTGTTTGTGGCATTCCTAAATTATATAAGCAATAATTTTGATTCAACGAAATCGATCATTGTGAGGAAGATACTCGCTGTTGCGGGCTAGAAAATACGCGGCGATAGAGGTTTAATTCTGTGTCTTAGCGTTGAACGGATAACTAGCTCACAAACAGAGAACACAAGATTTTTAACGTGGAAAACCCTTGATCAAGCTAATTTTGTGATGACGTATCACTCGCAAATGCAACAAATATCAACATCACCATTATGTTGTAGTGTATTATCTTGTAGTTGTTAAATGGTGTCCACAAAAACATTCGTGTTGTCATGCACTCTTTATGCTTTTAGTTATTTTCGTTGAATGATGTTATGTTTGGTTAATTATTTGACATATTACTCCTTTTATTTTAAATCTCCAACTATTTTAAATCTTGTAATATGTTGCCAAACATCTTTTTGGATTTAACAGGATTTAAAATTTTTCATACCAAACACAATTCAGGATTTATGAGCCTAGGATTTACTAGATTTAGTAAATCCTACTAAAATTAAATCCAATCTTATACCAAACACCCCCTTAAGAAGACTAGATCGAAAGATGCAGTCATTGAAATCTTAAAGTTTGCATAAAGGAATGGCCCCCAACTTTATATGCACTAGCGAGGGCACAATTAAATCCCCTAGAACTATCTAGCCTGAGCTCATTGAATTAGATATATCACCAAGGGCAGACCAAAGATGTTTTCTTGCCCTCATGTCATTTGCAGCGTAGATGCAAGCAAAGAAGTTGGGAATCCCCAAGGAAAGAGTTCCACCATGGATCAATTGCAGGTTTATAAGGACAGGATGAAATGAAATTGAGAACAAATCAGATGGATACAAACCCTTATCATCACAATGAGAGCAACATTATTATAACTTCTTTCACAGGCGAAGGACCCGAGCCGAACAAACAGCCATCCCTTCTCCGCTTGCAAGCGACAGCCACCAGCATTTCTGTCCCGATTTCCTCCCTCAACCGTCCAAACCTGCCCTAGCTCCGACGATGACGACATTCCCTTCCTGCCGATTTGGAAGTGATGTTTGGAGCTCCGCTAGCTGTGCAGTCGAGAGCTCGATGGCTAGGCTAGGATTTTCTCCTTCCGCCTCGGCGTGGCCTCCGATCGTTTCTGCTGGGTAAACTCTCCTTGCTCCTTAATACCTGATTTTTCTTGAGATTAGCGGTTTGATGGCTGTAATCGTTTAAGTGATCATGATTTTTGGCGGGAAAATTTACTTCGGATTCTTTTAGGATGTTTTGTATGGGGATTCTTCATGGTCGGAGTTTTCCCATCTTAGAATCACCTCTTGAATGGTTTTTTGTCTTTGTGGATTTTGGTTGAAGAAATGAAAGCCTTATCTACTCTATTTGAATTTGCTCTTGTCGGAAAATTTGTGGCCGGCGACCATCGATTGATTAAGTCCGTAAAGTTTTCTTTAATCTTATGCTTATGGGAGGATTCTCTGTTACATTGCTTGATACTAAGAATGTTCTCATTAAGTTTTCGAATGATTTAGACTATTGTTGTGTTTTCTCGACTTCTCGCATCAGTCATACTTTGTTAGCAACGGTTATATAAAGTTATTTAAGTGGACGCCTTATTATGACATTAACATTGAATCTCCTATTATACCCATTTGAGCTTCCTTTCCAATATTCGTCCGCATATGTTCTCTCCTCGAATTCTGCATGGGCTTAATTGGTTCTTTGTTTGGCCGGGCTTTACGGACGGATAATGCCACTTCGAATGGTACAAGGCCCTCTGTTACTCGCGTTCTTGTTGAGTTTGATGTTACCAAGCGGTATCCTATTCAAGTTTGGGTTGGTTCGGAATCTATGGGTTATATCCAATCGGTGTAATTTGAAGAATTTCCTCACTACTGTGGCCATTGTAAGGTTTTGGGTCATGCTATAATTGAATGTTACATTGTGAATCTTCATTTAGCTAATCCTTTTAACAATGTGGTTGGGGTGGGAGTGGTTTTAAATAATAATTGTGATGCTGAGTGTGATCTCATTAGTAAAGTTGATCCTATTAGTGTGAAAAATAATAGTCCTAGTATTGTTTTGCCTCTGCTTGAGTTAGTTGTTTCCTTGGGGAGGGCAGTTGAGTTTGATTCAGTGATCCCAGATGTTGGTGCTCCTTCAACAGAGCATTTGTCGGGTTGTTGTGTGTTCTGATGATAGTGATGTGGGTGATCATGTCTTAGTGGAACCCCTCGGGGTGGCATTGAGATTGATCGTTCTAACAATGTTGGTCCTGTTGCTAGTTATGAGTTGTTGAATGTGGGTGATAATGAACTTTGTGATGTTAATATGGGGGGTGGTGAACATTGATTCTAGTGAGTTGGATCACTCTGTTGCTTCTCCTGCGACATCTACTGATCTGCTTGTGTCGGTCTCCTCTGTGGGATTGGAAGTGAATGAACAGCTTGTTGATATTCCAATTGCTTTACTTTCTGCTAACGTCTTAAATGCCCTTGTGGGCGTCATAATGGGGGAAACTATTGAGGCACAATTTGATTGGCTTGAATGCTCTTCATCTTCTCCTTATGAGGTTGATGAAAATAAAGTGTTTGAACAAGAGGGCTTATTTGATTTGAATGCAAGTCATTTTAAATAATATTTTTAAATAATTGTGAAAAGGAAGTGTTTCACATAAACTCATTTATGATTCAACATAAATATAAAAATAGAGATAATAAATAATATATTCATATATATTTTTTTTTGTTAAAAAAGGAGTTCGGTTAGAAATTAATTATTATTTGATATGATTGTTACTCAATTTTGAAGTGACGGTCTTAGATGTCCTAACACTTACAATTTTACAAACGATGAAAATAAAAAATGAAGGGAAGAAAAAACAAACAAACAAACAAACACACACATTTAAAAGAAAACAATAAAAACCAATTATTTTACAATTTATAAGAAAGCATATCCCAAATATTATTGGTCATCCGTCATGAGCTAATACTGCTTAAGGAAAGTTTCCGGATTGCATTAAACTATCAAATATCTATTGTATCTGCTGCTTAATAATACGGAAAAAAAAAACAACTCTCAGAAATTCTATATACAAAAATGCAAGTCAAAATCCTAAGGGACGTTGAAAAAAATGAATATAACGACAAATAGAAAGCGAATTGAAAGAAAAAGAAAATATTGTAGGAATCTTTAGGCATAGTCATAAAAATTCACCTTGATGAATCATAAATTTTG